ATTGATACCGAAGAAGATGGTTCCCAAGAGCAACCGATTGCATTTGCTTCATACGTACATGGAATTTCTAATAAATACCTTATTTGTTTATGTCGGAATCGTCGAGTTGTTATATGGTCGTTGAAAACACGCAGATATTTAGAGTCCAATCCACTTTCTTTTATTCAAGATGATGATACAGACACGGATATGAATGATCCTGAAGACTGGCCATTAGATTATAATGAACCATTAAATCCATTACCCCCAATTCCACAAAAATATATTCAGGCATTAGTGTCAAGTAATATACATAGTCCAATGTCTTTCCATTTTGTCGTTTTTATTCCTACTTCTGGTGATGGTTTCTTCAGGCTTTATCGCGTTCGAGTCGATTCATCAGGCGGTTTAAAAGAAATGTTTATGATCGGTCAAACATTTAATAATCCATGTGAACAGCTTCAAAATCGCGATTTTCCTTTTCGAAATTTAGTAGACATGGGATTAACACATGGTCATTTAGTAGAAGAAAAAGAACCCGACAATGGAAATGGGCAAACCTGGAGGCAAGAATGGAGATTATGGGCATTATGGAAACGAAATCGTCAAGCAACATTGACTTATACAAATTTTAATATAACTTATTACGGTTCTTACGATAGCAACATTGAAGATTCTATCTCTGCTATAGAAATGTTTAATTTTGGAAAACGATGGGAGTTTGTCACAAATTCACCAATTAAAACTCATGACCATGGATATTTATCTAATATGCTTAAAGATGGTGATGAGCAATTGGATTATGTCCAAGTTTATACAAACTACTTATTTTGCCCTGGACGATTTTCATCATCTATCATTAAATACGCACTTAAAAAGTATATTAAAAGCATTGTAAAAGATGAATCTCAAGATTTTGATCTTTCGAACGTCGAAGGAGATCTTAAACAAAAAGTAAAACAAGTGGTAGCAAGACATATTCGTTTACGTAACGATCGCGAGAACGACATTCCACTCGAAAATGAACATAGAACAAGTGTCATAAATGAATGGTTACGTTTTGTATTATTATGTATTGAAATACGAGAACGTGCTAATCTTCCGTTGAGTCTTTCTCTCGTTCAAACTGGCCCTTTCGTAGGTATTACTCATCAAGATAGCATATCTGTGCTTCGTGTTTGCGATATATTAGAGTTCCTACAACATTATACTGGAGAAGAGGCTCACGAATTAAATTTAAGTATATCATACAATCAATTACTTCCATTGTATCCTATGACAAGTGAATGCGAAGAGGTTGATATCATAAATGTGTTCGCCGCTGCGAACTTGGTTATATCTCCTATGACAGAAGTTGATTTATTAATTTTTGACCGTAAAATCGTTCAAACACTACCTAAACCGATGATGGTTTCGGTGGCGCAAAGTGTTTCAGACTTATACGATAATTATTTACGTCACCGTTTGTCACCAGATTTAAAGGCTAAAATATGGTCTAGATTGGACTTGTGTTCACGATTAGAAAGAGCATTTCACACCATTATTGGAGCTTTGAATGACGTCAAATTTATAATTCATGAAAGGGATGATAGAATTGACACGGCTAAAACTACCATTTTCGTGGACGCTTTAATAGCATCAGCTGCAACTGATGTTATTCAATCTCATTATATTATAGCTCGTAATATCTTTCTTTTGTTGGTAGTAATACTTAGCACTAAACCAAATTCTGGTTTTGATCAGAGAGCGTCCATGGCGATGTCTACTCTATA